TATATATATATAATGTAACGTAGGCTATGTACTGTCAAACTACTGATAATTATTCTGAAAATAATAATGGAAAGAAATATTGGAAAGAAAGACCACAATACATTTACGATTCTGTAGAAATCATGCCGTCTGCAATTGAGAAAAGCGCTTTCTTCCTTCAATTGTCCCAACTTCCTGTGAACTAAATGCTTTTCTGATTGTGAATCACTTCCTGGCTCGATGTAGCATTGAAAGCTGTAGTAGCACACAGTACATGTTCTGCGTAGATCGTGAGATGTCTGAGGTGAAACCGAACTTTCTGGAACAGATCTGAAACTTTAACAGTGACAAACTTTAACATCAACAATATGGCAGTTCAATGTTACAACACATGACAAGTGATTGAGAGGGAGTTTTTTTATTATTATAAATGTACTACTTACCTTCATTTTCCAGCAGGAGGCACTATATGCTCACTCATATTCATTTTCTCATACTCGTATGCAGGATTACCATCCAAATGGAAGTGAAAGTGATTTTAAACACCATCATTTGTCTTTTTTTCCTTTTCTTTCTTTGTTTATTTAAAATAATGTTTAAAATCCCATTATTTGTTTAAAAGCATATTTACATTTCCCGCTTCACATCTTGTGAACATATTTCCATTAACACTGCTAAGTTATTAACCAGATGGTTATCAATTCACAGCTGATAACAGAATTTGCAATCTGCTATAGTTTATATAACTTGCTAATAATATGCAGCACCATATTTTAACAACTGCCTGCCTCCACCTAAGCAGTATATGGCCCAGTGTGTGAATGTGTTGACTAATGCAAAGAAAAAACATTGCTTACCTGGAATGGAGTGAGTGTCTGTTTGAGTCTTTCCATCTCTTCTTTCTCTGTTAAGCCTAACCTGATCTGCAGTGGCATTACTCAGAGGATACCGGTGCGGATGGCTATAGGTTTAGAACACTGACTAAGCAGCATTTCAACTGGCCGCAGAACCATCAAGCTCCTGTCATACAGCTGATGTAGACATTTTTTTCTGAGTGTTGTAAGCCAAAATACAAACTGGTTACAGTTTTTCCTTTCAATTCAGTTGGCTAAAAGTGTCTTGGCTTGACTGCCTCATGGGGAAAGACAATTTGCAGTAGCTCTTCTTTGGCTTCAGCCCTCTTTACTGTTCCTTTTGAAATTATGTCTCCTTCTTGGCAAGCTCTGGAGGAGAGGAGATTTTTCCCATGGGAAAGTGTGTCTGATACAGCAAGTTGGTGCTGTAACATTTCTTCATGTCTTTCTGTTACAGCACTTTGCCACAAACACATTCATGAACTCTGAACAGCAAAAGTGCTGTTTATTTACACAATCATATATAATTATTGAATTGCCATAGTAGGCTACGTTGACATCAAGGGAACCCAGCAAATCGTAACTCAGTGGAAAGTCTAAAAAAAAAAGTATTTTCACATCTGAGTGGGCAGAGAGCAGTACCTGTGAACAGTCATGCATGAACACACATATACACACTCAACGTGTTTTTCCAGCCCTTATACAAAGTGTGCCTCTGATGACATAATGGGAACTGTATTACTGAGCCAACAAGAGCAGATATATGACAAGACAAGTTCCACCAAAGGGTTGTACAATTGTAATATATTGATATTGATCATAATTTTTTTTTTACACAATATTTAATGTATTACGTTATGTCAAATTTAAGGTGATGTCAGGTAAAAATAGGCATCGGGTAAAATGAAGTATCATAGTTCTAAAGATTCCACTCCACAATTGTACAATAGTCCTCGAAATGATTGCCATAGTAGGCTACGTTGACATCAAGGGAACCCAGCAAATCGTAACTCAGTGGAAAGTCTAAAAAAAAAAGTATTTTCACATCTGAGTGGGCAGAGAGCAGTACCTGTGAACAGTCATGCATGAACACACATATACACACTCAACGTGTTTTTCCAGCCCTTATACAAAGTGTGCCTCTGATGACATAATGGGAACTGTATTACTGAGCCAACAAGAGCAGATATATGACAAGACAAGTTCCACCAAAGGGTTGTACAATTGTAATATATTGATATTGATCATAATTTTTTTTTACACAATATTTAATGTATTACGTTATGTCAAATTTAAGGTGATGTCAGGTAAAAATAGGCATCGGGTAAAATGAAGTATCATAGTTCTAAAGATTCCACTCCACAATTGTACAATAGTCCTCGAAATGTAACAGTTCATTTGATTGGTCCGAATTAAGTGATGCATGGGCAGGAAAAATCCAAATTTTATATTGTTTGGGTGGGAAAAACTTAAAATAAGTGCCCTAACATGCTAATTACAACTTTTCATTTACAGGGGCCATATAGATTATGTAATCATTTGAGTGATTTTGTATTTATCAGGGCTCAGTGAACTCTAATTAATGTATTCACTCTTTTCCACCCTGTTTCATTAAACATTTATCCATTTATCTCAAACCTGAGAACATAACTAGTTAACCATATTGTTACCATATTGTACCTAGTTACAATACTGTACAATATAAATTATACTTCTAGCCTACTTATTAACGTATAAGCATAAATTGTCTCTGAGAAAAAAATAATATAATAAATAAAAAATCAGTATACTACGTTATTGTATTGCAACTTTTTCCACATTTTTATGGTTTACTGTTCTTAATTTGTTTTTGTTTTTTTTGTGCATTCAACATATTGTCAGTGTAAACGCACCTTGAGTCAAGGACAAAATTTCCCTTGGGGACAATGAAGTGTATTACATTTTATTTAATTTACTCTACCCAACTTTATTTCATTTACTCTATTAATAATAATAATAATGTTTTATTTATAAAGCGCTTTTAACAAGTTCAAGGTCCCTATACACAGAATAGCAAAAAAAAAACATATTAACAACTTTTGTTTTAAGTCCAAAATTGAACAACAACAAAAAAATCTATTAAAGTCACGTAAGTGATCCTCAAACGGTCCGATGCGCGTGTAAACAAAACTTCATTTCCCACACTGCAAAGCATCAAACGCTACTTCAAACAGCTGACTGAGGGTGAGACCTAAGCGAGCGCTTCTCAGAGGGCTTCGCGGGATATACATACAACGTTTGAGGCGGAACAAGCTGACAACGCGTCCTGTCTGGCTGTCAAACCTGTCCACAAGTATGTTTGAGGAGTATGCTTGCGCTCTGAACTAGTACAGAACTTGGAGTAGGACTGGCACCTCCGTTTAGTCTACATGCATTTACAAACATGACTTTGGACTAGTATTTGCTGCAGTTCGAGCCCATGCCCCTAAAGCCGTGCCAATGCCGAGGAATGGATACTAGTGTCTCTGGCGAAGTTGGAAACATGGTCGCAAGTGATGAGGAGCATTTGGACGCGAGCGATGGCAGTAACGCAGGGATGGACGCGCTTCACCAGTGCGAACTCATCCAGAACCTGATCGAGATCTCCATCTCTAGTCTAAAAGGGCTCCGGACCAAGTGCGCCGCATCTAACGACCTGACCCAACACGAGATACGCGCTTTGGAGGTAATGTTTTTTGGGGGTTTTTTTTGCCTTTGTGTAACTTACTTGGATAACAAGCTACAGGGCATTTAGACAGTGTTCATGCCAGGTTGCAGGTTAAGTCAAGTCAAATAAGTACCATGACATTAGTGCGATCCAGTATTAGACGGTGAATGATAGTTCTTGATATGCCTAAATAATGATGTTTGCTTTGTAGGTGCATCTTCAAGTCATCATTCATTTTATTGTCTATTAATATATTGACACCAAATTCATAAATGATAGGGTCATGGAAACCCCCTCATGGCTGACATTACTTCCTGGATCTTGAGGTAGGCTAGTTGTTTAGGGTGCATCTGCCTACCCCCTCCTGATGTGAAGTTTTACCTGTGGAATGTTGTGCATTGCTAAGTAGAAAAGTTTTGCACTTGGAAGAAATGAACAGCACGTTAAGAAATATCATGGAGCAGGTTGCTCCTTTATAGGCACCACCATGTTAATATCACATGACCGTGTCATGAAAATAATATGTTTACTTTATATGATGCAAAACAGACATTTAAGCCTTACAATAAACACTTTTTGTAATTATTTTACAGAAAGTTATTGCAGTAGTGCAATTAACTTTTTTTCCTTTTTTTCAAAAATGAAGGTGTAAATGCTTTCATATTGAGTATTTTTTATACTCATTCTCACTGCAACGGAATACTTTTTCAATAGTGTATTGTAAGAGTAAACTAGTCAAAGTCCTGTAGCTGTTTTAAAACTATATGTTCCATGTCAAACAGCCTGTTATCTTAGTTTAGCTCTGCAAACAAGAGGAGCATATGTCAGAGGAGTGTTAGTGCTATTTTTAACCATACGCAGGTTAAACCATACAAGTGGTTAACCCCTCCCACAAAAGTGAACTGAAATCCCAAGTTGGTCAAACCTGTTGAACAGCGTCACTTTTAATATTGTTATGGTTGTATTTAATAAAACACCATAAATTTGTGGCTTTTCTGTGAAGACAAAATTAAGGTCAAGCACCTTCTTCTCTGAATCAAAACATGGCTTTCATGTTCGCAGCTTGCAAACTCTCACTTTTAAAGGGGTGGTTGATTGCGATTTCACTTTTTTAACGTTAGTTAGTGTGTAATGTTGCTGTTTGAGCATAAACAATAGCTGCAAAGTTACGAAGCTGAAAGTTCAGTGCAAACGGAGATATCGTCTTTTTTCATATGATGCTTTTTTAAAGATCATTATTTTGTGCATTTGGTGTAACAGAATATGCTGACATGCTTTAATGTTCAAAAAACACATTATTTTTCAAATACTGTACATTATTGTAGGTCCTCTATGCCCCGCCTCTCTCAAACACGTCATTTTCAACAAAGTCCCTCCTTCCGACAAGCGCAGTCTGCTCTGATTGGCCAGCTGACCCAGTGCATTGTGATTGGCCGAACACCGCAAGCACTCGTCGGAAATGTAGCGCCCCTTACCATAATCGCGAGCTTCATCACAAATAAATGTAAAGACAGAGCCCGAAAGGGGAACAAAGTCGCGTGACAGACACAGTGATGAAGCTGGTATGTGTGCAGTACACAAGCCACGGTTAAGACAGCTGACTCCACTGTGATGTGCCCCCCTCTCTCTCTCTCACACACACACACACACACACACACACAGCAAATACTTAAGCTAATAACAAAACAGTAGCTGATTCAGAAGCACCAGATTGTCATAGCAAAGTCAGAATTACCTCCTCTCCTAGGTTCACAAAACAGTCATCCATAAAATGCATTGCTGTTCTGTTGTAAGTGATCTTAAAGATTCCTAAATGCATCTACTTTCGGAAGGCCAAATAAAGTGCTTTTGCTTTCGCCTAGAAACACACAGCATCTCCCTGACATGCTGCTTCAACACTAACTGCGGTTACTGAAACCACGCCTTCTTTCTTTGCGTGAACATTTGGGCGGCATTATGCTAATATTTCCACATAGTGAGGTAGATATGTGGGGGCGTGTTAGAATGAGCCGTTTTAGGGGGGCGTGGCAGAGTCTTAACTTTGATAAAGAATATCTCTTTGGTTTTGAGACTTTAGTCTTTGCAACTTCAGGGATCTTATCTATTCACAATCAGCTTGTAACACTCCAAAGAGAAAGGAAAACTTGAAATCGCATCATATGACCCCTTTAAAATTCTGTTCCTCGCATTCCCCTGCTCTTCACGCACTCTGCATCTCTCTCTCATTCAGCTCAGCTTCAACAATGAACTGTTCCAATTATACACTTATTTTCACATAGCTATGAGAAGCGTTAAACATGGACGCGCGTGCAGTTGCTGTACTGTATTAAAGCTTTAATCAGGATAAAACCGTATATTAAAAGCTAACATAAGCAGTAGCATTTACAAATAACAGCATATCGAAAAGTATGAGACAACAACAAACAAAAAACATAGGCCTACCAATAAAAGCTGTGCTTGCACAGGTTCTGCACAATCCTCTTCAATAAACCGGGCTCAAACTGATAAGAGATATTAACGACGCAGTTGTTTACAATACAACCGGAGGACATGCCACTGAGGTGAGGGGCGGAACGTTTAGACACGCACTAGAGGCGGTTTAGCCAATCACAACACACTGGGCTAGCTAACCAATCAGAGCCCATCACCTATTTTTGAGGGCAGGCTTCATAAAAGCAGGAAATGATCAGCACGCTTCTCAGAGAAGGGACAGAGCGGTGTGGAATAAAGGTAAATTATTTGAAAAATAATGTGTTTTTTTTTAATGAAGTATTAACACGTTAGACTGCACCCCATAAACACGATCAAGCCTAGAAAAAAAAAAAACAGTGAACCACCCCTTTAAATAATCAAGATGGGCTTGAGGCTTTGTTAAAGGGTTAGTTCACCCAAAAATGAAAATTAGCCTGTGTTTTACTCGCACTTGAAGCATCCTAGGTGTATGTGACTTTCTTCTTTCAGACGAATCCAATTGGAGTTATATTAAAAATTGTCCTGGCCCCTCCAAGCTGTACAATGGGAGTAAGCAGGTGTCAACAGTTTAGAAGACGTGAAATACAGTGCGCGAATCCGTAATAAAACGGTTTGAGTCTCGTACCGCCAGGGATTGTAGGTGGGGGGAGTGAATGTACAGCGCTCTCTTCCACCTTCAATACCACGACTGAGGTGCGCTTGAGCAAGGCACCGAACCCCCAACTGCTCCCCGGGCGCTGCAGCATAAATGGTTGCCCACTGCTCCGGGTGTGTGTTCACGGTGTGTGTGTGTGTTCACTGCAGTGTGTGTGCACTTTGGATGGGTTAAATGCAGAGCACTAATTCCAAGTATGGGTCAGCATGGCCACATGTCATGTCACTTTCACTTTATTATGGATGCACGCACTGTATTTCACGTCTTCTGGACTGTTGACAGTCAACACCCGCTTACCCCCATTGTAAGGCTTGGAGGGGCCAGGACAATTTTTTATATAACTCCGATTGGATTCGTCTGAAAGAAGAAAGTCACATACACCTAGGATGCTTCGAGGGTGAGTAAAAAACAGGCTAATTTTCATTCTTGGGTGAATTAACCCTTTAAATAAACTGTTATACTTTAAAATTTTTGATGATGCTAGTTCTCACAGACACAGGTAATTGTGACATTGTGGTTTGTCTGCTGCTTGTTTTGCCGATACTTATCTACTGGTTGTGTACATGATGAAATTCAGAAAAACACTTGTTCAAGTAAGGTCATGTGAAGTTTTTTATCACTTTCTTTATTATCAGCCAAGTGCAAGAAAAATAATAAAATACATGTCCTTTGAAACCACAGCAAAATTTATATAACAGTTTATGATAATGTGTGGTGGCCCAAGGCAATTAAATTTAATTACATTTAATTACAAGAAAAATGCAATAAGTGGTTAGCAATATGTACCCAGAGTACTATATAAAAGCTAAAAAAATGGTGTAAAACAGTGTGCAGACAATGCCAGATAGACTTGAATTGCAAGATGTAAACATAGAGTCTAGTGCTCATAAAACGACTGTAATGCGGCAAGGATTGTGCTGAGAACAATAACAAGCAGAGTCGGGATTATGGGTTGCATTTCTGCATTGAGTGGGGGTGGACAGTCCATTTGTTGATTGTCAGAGCTAACCCTTGCTGCAAGTCTACTGGTTTTGGAGTCAAGCTTTCGAGCTTTCTCCAGATGGTAGGGGTATGAAACTAACAAGAGATGGACTGATAATGTTTAATTGTTTAATAAGCTGGAAATCTGGTTCTAGTGATGAGCTGAGCTATTTTCACTACCCACAGCAGAGCTCTTTTGTCTAAAGCAGAGCAGTTAACATACCAGACAGTAGGGCTGCACGATAAATCGAAATGAAATCGAGATCGCGATTCGACAGAAGCTGCGATTGTCATGCGTATCTTTCAGTGAAGCACGGTTCTGTGATCAGCAGTAAATTTCCATCCAAAGGCCAGAGGGCGCTCTCGCGCTGAAGAAACCCAGAAAATGCCTATCGCTGCAGCTGAATAAACAGAAGATTCAACTGCTTTCATTGATTCAACGTGACTAATAAACACACGACTACGGCAATATATGGTTTATCTGAGTTCTTATTATTATAATTTTCATTAAAATAAAGTATATTTATAATCCAATGCCTTTATCACTGCTTAAAACTATGAAATATGTTGCGTGCCTTATTCTGTGTAAGAAGCCACATCATCTCACAGAAGGATTTATTTCAAACACTCGACTGACATTATGAAGTGAGTTGTATGTTATTAAATATGTTATTAAATGTGGTATTTTCACATGCTTTCAGATGGAGCAGCATTTACTTCACAGAGCCGTAGTTCACTGATAAGCTATGCAAAAAGCTGTCATTATCGCGAATGATTTCTTCGATTTCATAATCGCGTAATAAAATAATCTGCAAATTTTTTTGCGTAACTTGTCAGTGAACTACGGCTATGTGTAGTAAATTCTGCTCCATCTGAAAGCACATGATGATGATTTCCTGCTGATTACAGA